TCCAGTTTCCCGCTATTTAGGAGTTAGGAACTTTTCCAACTTTTCGTCGCCTCGGAAAATCTGTATTCATTGCCTCAATGGGACCTTTTGCAGGGCTTTCCCTCCGATAGCAAAAATTTATTGCAGTCGAGATCTAGCCTTCATTAGTCTCTCTCTAGCAATGATATCTTGTGACGTCGCAAAGTTTAGTTGCTTATACATACATAATAGATAGTAATACTACAAATCCGGCGCTGTGCACACGTCACACTATTGTTACTTAAAACCATATCTTCAGTCGACATTTATTGTATTTTATTAAAAAATTCACTTAAATAACCATCAATGTGATGATGAAAATTATTTATACACAATTATAATTGTAAATTATCAATCTGCAATAGATGATAGAAAATTAACTGTACTTATTCTTCTAGACTTCTCCAAAGCCTTCGATTCCATCAACCATTCCATCCTCTTCAACAAACTAAAATCATTATCTTTCTCCAATAGTTCCATCTCTTGGTTCCAATCTTTCCTCTCCCAACGCACCCAAGCAGTCTCCATACCCAATCAACCACTATCTGCCTACCTTCCTTTATCCTACGGAGTTGCTCGGGGTTCAAGCATATCTCCTCTCCTTTTCAGCTCCTACATTAACGACCTTCATAATTCAATTCTCCACTGTTCCCACCACCTTTATGCAGATGATTCCCAGATCTACCTATCCTTTTCTCCCTCTGAGTTATTGGTAGCATTTGCCAAGATTCAAGAAGACCTTGATCGAATCAATGCCTGGGCAAATGTAAATGGATTAAAGTTAAATGCTGCCAAAACTCAGGCCATTGTCATTGGTTCCAAGCCCCTTATTAGATCCCATACTGACTTTCCCATATTACACCTTAATGACCAGCCTATTTCCTTCTACTCCTCTGTTAAAAATTTAGGATTTTTCATAGATCAAACCCTCTCCTAGACCTACTATATTTCTCACATTTCCCGTCGGACAATTTCTACCCTTAAACTATTTCATCGCTTCCGCCATCTCCTACCTCAACATACCCGTAGACTCCTAATTTCCTCCCTCATCTTCCCCCACATTGACTACAGCTGTGTGGTGTATGATGGCCTCTCGGTGGAGCTCCGTGACAGATTGAAAAGATTAATGAACAGCTGCGTAAGATTTGTTATTGGTGCCCCGAGGCACTCTCATGTCTCTCACCACTACACTGAGTTAAGGTGGCTCTTCCCCTCCTTCAGAAGACAATACTTTCTAGGTACGTTCCTCTACCAAATCATCAACAGCCATCGTCCTTCTTACGCCTACAACCTTCTCCAATTCAAGTCCTCAGTCCATTCCCTTTCAACAAGATCTCGACCTTCTGACCTCTACATCCCTTCTCACAGATCTGCCTCATTTCAAAATTCCTTTATAGCTCGCGCTGTCAATTTCTGGAATTCTCTACCTATCAAAATTCGACATTCCCCTCCATATCCACATTCAAATCCCTCCTATTCCAATTCCTATCACAAAAACAGTCAGATACTTGCTAAACTTTCGATATTATACATTTCTAGTCATCATCATACGATAGTACTATTCTATACTGTGATCTTCACTAGGGATATTACAATATCTTCCTGCTTTTAATGCCACTGACCACATCTATTGTTTTTTTTTTTTTGTTTTTTTATTGTTTTTTATTATTTTTTATTCGTATATAATTAAATCTGTACCTATCATTTGACAATGATGAGTCTACATATTAATCATTATTTAAATACACTGATATTTTATATTGTCAGGTTTGTCTTTACTTTGTTAGCAGAAACACACCTCATTTTAAAGAAGAACTCTATGTACTTTTATTATTTTATTTTTCAAAAGAGTATAATTATAATTTTTCCTACTGTACATAGTCTTGAGTGTTTTATCATAGTTTTAAGTGTTTTGTATATAGATTTTTTTTTTGTATATAGCTTGTTTGATTTTCTTTCTTTCTCTTTTTTATTATTGTTTTATTTTGGCTAGATGTAGTATTTTAATTATGTTCTATTTTGTTATTCTAAAGGGACTTTGTCCCTGAATAAAGTTATTTTATATTTCTATTTCTAAATGTTATGACTTTGTAAATATAGAAAAAAAGTATATTATTATTATCGCTTTGTTGATGTTTTAACTTCTATCATGTGGTCTGAAGCGCGCATCATATTTTTTTTGAGATTATATATGTAAAACATTTTTTTTTTCGAATAATGATTATAAGACCAAATAATAACGCTGTAGGAACCAATGACAATTGTAAATTCTCCTCTCACTGTTTTCGTAACATAAAATAGACCTGACTCTAATCCTAATCGTAAAAGCCTCCTTCTTTCAGGATAAATTATTTTGGGAATCCGTTCAATCTAACTGAGTGGTTTTGGCCCCCCAGTGCAGAGGTGAGGGGGGCCATATATACAAGAGCTGTATGTTAAATACGACACCTAGCCAGGTCGGTGAATCTTACCTGCCGCTGTAGATCTCGTCTCCTTCTTCAATAACTGTTTATCTCCTTTCAATTTATTATATATTAAAATACACGCGATAAATTTTCACGAAGGTTTCCGACCCACTAAATTTCCCCGTCGGACATCTAAGAAACATAAATAACATTATTAAATTATATTTCCTTATCCTTTCCTGATTTAGGGAAGTATACAAACACCATGGAAGAGGTGATGTAGGTACTATTCTTCATCATGTTCATCATGCCATTTTGTACCGAAACAAATTATTATATAGCAGTTGCGAATAGAAATTCGAAGAAAAAAAATACTATTTTCTGTTGTTAATTTCATAAGAAATAATAAAAAAATGTTACACTATTTTACTAAAAAATAATATATTCTTTGTATTTTAGGTTTCCAACGATATATTATACTTATACATTCTGACTGTTATTTCCAGAGATACATTTTCAACCTGGATAAGCATTTTTCTCCAGTTTCCAATAATAATATTCTTTCAAACTTAACATTTAGCCATGTTTATAGTCAATAAAAAAAGAGTTAATATTTTTAATCTTCCATATTAAAGGTACTTTAGAGGAAAACATATTTGAACATTGGGCATTTAAGCTCTATAAAGTGACATCAATGGGGATAAGACCTATGTGATATTAATATATTTAGACAGAAATATTTTCTATTTATTAATTTGCATACAGTTGCTAATTTCATACGAAATAATAAAAAAATGTTACACTATTTTACTAAAAAATAATATATTCTATATATTTTAGGTTTCCAACGATATATTATACTTATACGTTCTGACTGTTATTTCCGTAGATTCATTTTCAACCTGGATAAGCATTTTTCTGCAGTTTCCAATTATAATATTCTTTCAAACTTAACATTTAGCCATTTTTATAGTTACTGTCAATAAAAAAAGAGTTAATATTTTTAATCTTCCATATTAAAGGTACTTTACAGGAAGACGTATATGAACATTGGGCATTTAAATTCAGTAAAGTGACATCAATGGGGATAAGACCTGATTGATATTAAATACCACCTAATTATACAATGATTGACCGAGTTTAATCAAAATTGTTAGAGCCGTTTTTGAGGAAATTATAAAAATGTGTTTCAGCATTGATATAAAGCGGTACTTCCGGTAAGCCAATATTAAGGAAAAATTTCCTGTCACATCTAAGGCATGTACCTATCTTAAATACGTAATATCAGTTTCGAATACACACAGACAATTTTGTGGGACTTGATTATTTGGACTCAGGGGACCTCAAAACGTGTATTTCCGTTAAAAACTTAGATTAAAAAATTTTCACTTGTCCTTTCCTGATTTAGGGAAGTAAACAAAAACCAGGAAAGAGGTGATGTAGGTACTGTTCTTCATCATGTTCATCATGCCATTTTGTACCGAAACAAATCACTGTATGATAGTTGCGAATGGAAATTAAAAAAAATAAAATATATTTTCTGTTTATTAATTTGTTTACAGTTGTTAATTTCATAAGAAATAATAAAAAAATGTTACACTATTTTACTAAAATATAATATATTCTTTATATTTTAGGTTTCCAACGATATATTATACTTATACGTTCTGACTGTTATTTCCGTAGATTCATTTTCAACCTGAATAAGCATTTTTCTGCAGTTTCCAAGTATAATATTCTTTCAAACTTAACATTTAGCCATTTGTATAGTTACTGTCAATAAAAAAGAGTTAATTTTTTAAATATTCCATATTAAAGGTACTTTAGAGGAAGACGTATATGAACATTGTGCATTTAAACTCAGTAAAGTCACATCAATGGGTATAAGACCTAAATGGTATCAAAGACCACTTAATGATAAAGCGATACACCGAGTTTAATCAAAATCGTTAGAGCTGTTTTTCAGCATTGATATAAAGTGACACTTCCGGTTAGCCGATTTTAAGGAAACAGTCGCTGTCACATCTAAGGCATACTTTAATCTTAAATACGTAATATCAGTTTCGTATACACACAGACAATTTTGCGGGACTTGATTATTTGGACTCAGGGGATCTCAAAACGTGTATTTCCGTTGAAAACTCAGATTCAAAAATTTTCACGATCGCAATACTTACCCCTACTATATATTCCATATACTAATGTATATATACATTAGTATATGGAATATATAGTATCGTGAAAATTTGTACAGGTTAGTGAATGTAAATAACGCATATATTGCGTAAAAATTAAGAAAATATCTTTCAGAATTAATAAATAAAGATAATTGTGAGGTGATAATAAAGATAATTTCCCATAGAAACCAGTGTACTTGTTATTTATTTTTTCGAATACTCAAAAACTACACATCTTCTGAAATATTACAGTTGTTTATTGTAAGGATATATAAATTGTCTGACAGAGCTCTCTTAAAAAAATGTGAACAGAAAATATGAGGAAAAAATCTAGCCCTTGTGAATTTATAAATATTCCTATTTTATATAAGTTAGCATTAAAACGCTTCTACTAACTTGCGCAATGTCTCATATTATAAGAAGAATTAAAAAATTAAGGTTTAAAAATGAGGATCAGAAATAAGGATTTGATAGGTTTATTTTCGTCACCTCGTTCGGAGCAGTTCCCAATAATAGCAACTGAAGACGACTATACAGATCCATTGAATGAGTAACTCAAAAACGACTGCGATCAATTTCAGCCAAAGTGCCATTATGACACGTGCACCGATGCGCATGATGTTGATCAACACCATTGCGTAGTGGATGTAGATGGCACTCCGGAGGAGGTAGTTGTCTTCGTTACCGATGGATACGAAGACCAGGACGTCCGAACCGAGGACGATGAAGAACAAGACGGCGTCGAAGATCTGAGCTCCTATTGGCATGACGTACACGCACAAGCCGCCGTGTTCTCCGCACTCTTTCAGGTGCGAAGCGTGCGAGAAGAGGAGAGAGCACGTCATGACGAAACCAAACTCGTAGAAGACGAACTCCAAGAGAGCGAAGAACGCAGCGAGGAGCCTCCAGACACCACCGGGTAGTCGCAGTCGTTCGAAGAACACAGGTGGATCCATGTTGAGATGTTCGAGGGTTCATCCTTGATCAAGATGCTATGCGGCCATCTCGGAATACAGCGGAATCCAACACTAAATTGAATCAAATCAACAATACTCTCGTTTGTAAATATTAACATGTGTTTTCAATATAGTGTATTGAATAGTGTAAGAAAATTTTGTTGAGAAAGTAAACGTTTTGTAAAATACTGATCAGTAAGTAGTAGTTTATAGACTTTATTTTCCATTTTTTACTACAAATCCTTCAATACGTTTTTCTAGAGCGGTGGTATGTGGCCAAGTTTCACAGCCATATATCAGAACTTGATAATAGAGAAGAAGAAGATGAAGAAGAAAAAGTCTTTTTATTTATCAAAATTACAAAATATAAATTACAAAATAATATTTTTGGATTTTAAACCGAAAATCAGACGTGCTACATGGTCTGTTGACAGAGGAGTCTGTGTTTCAAAAATTATATTTCAGTCTATTTATATACAAATACTTAATAGGAAAATAAGAACAATTATATTTACAATGTAAAGGTTACACAAATATTTTAATTACAAAAAAGTGGTACCAAAACTCTCCAATTTATTTATTGTTAAATTCACTGGTGAGCATTATTCTATAGGAGGAAGCAGACTTGCAGTAATTTACCAATGCTATCCAATCGTTTCCATTTAATAAATCAATTACTTGATCCCGAGATAAATTTCTAGACTTTAACCATTTAATTCTAAATTCAGAGAGTATCGGACAAGCAGCCAGGAAGTAATAGGGATCTTCTGTTTCGTTTGTATTACACATGCTACAATTATTATTTGTTTGATGGAAGTGTTTATAATTTAATTTCAAAACATCAACTCTAATTTTAATTACTCATCTGATCACCTTCAATGAGCTTTTGTCGTCAATATAATTTACTGAAGTTAAATGAGGATAAAAAGTAAAAGTTTTAGAATTCTGAAGTTTAATTACATATTGATTATATATGTCTTTCTGGATTTGAGTTCTTAGTAAATATAAATTAGCTCTCCATACTTGATCATAGCATTTTACACTCTTAATTCGAGATTTATTGGAATTTCAATACATTTGAGTGGGAGAAGAACTTTTCGTGCTTGTTGTACACTGTTCTATTTCTGCTCGTCATTCATTGAGGTTATTGTGAAGCCAAGGTATTTGAATTTATCTTCTGTGGGGAACGATTTTCTTTCTACCCAGGTCCTGTTAGTGGGCTTTAAAGATGTACGAGATTTATTTAAAACGATTTTTAAGTGTATTCTTGAGCACGTATTTTAAAAATGTTTTTTTGAACCTTATTTTTCTTTCGGCATTGCAGAAATTGCAGATCAATTTATACTTGGACAAGACTCCATCTGCCTATCTAGGGCTTTTCCTTTCCAGTTATCTGGATGTCCCTGTATTGCATCTTGGTTTATTTAATCTACCGATCTTGTTCAAGACCTTCTTCGTGGTCACTTGACTACTATAGAAGCATTCATAGTTTTGTAGAGTTTTTTGATAGATTATTCTGAGCTACATGAATTGCCCATCTTAACTTCATTGTCAATATATCATGAGATACTGAATTCTAGCAGCTTTTAATTGGTCCTTTTCTTCCACGAGTTAGTACACTGATCCAAAACCGCTTCGTACAATGTCAATTTTTAAAAAAATAAGATATAACTGTTTACTATCGTCTACGACTATACTGAGGCTTTTTTCGAAAAAGTTTAATGGGATTAAACAAGCTTAGAGAATTCTCTAAAGGAATTCTTATGTTTTGTTAAGTATTAAATAGAATTGAAATACTTACATTACTTTGAAATCTTTAATTTGATAAAAATCATTTTTTTAATACATCCTAATAAGTCAATTTATTATCATACATGTATTTCATAAAATGAATTATAATACATGAAGAAAATTTCTGAGGATGGGATAAATTTCTCAACTAAAAAAAAAAAAAAAAAAAAAGAAGACATTTTTACTTACTATTTCAATACAATTTCAATTTGTCATACACGATAATAAATCGTTATACCATATTTTAAATATGTTAAGCATCCCACGGTAACCCTGGCACATGGAGAATTCCGACAAGAATTATGATTTATTTCGGAAAATATATGTATTAGGGTCTTCATGCATTTTAAATAAAATTTGTCCCGTATCAATTGGAGTTTTGAAACTTCCTAATATTTAAATTAACTTTAGTCAATATTGTTGTAGGACTTAATATTCCGTGGTACATACACCTTTTTATCAAATTAATAACAATACGGCTAAAACTTCGTAAATCGCTTCATCTCATCGTAACCTACAAATATTTTATTTACGAAAATTCTCGGAATTACAGTTTTCAATCTGGATGGGGGCAAACTATGTATATTTAATAGGGTACTAAAAACTCATAAATAGACATTTGTTTTTCACTTGCATCGTAAGATAATGTGATCACAAAATCGTGAAAAAAGGTGATCTACGAAAAAATTAGGCTGTTTGGCCTATATAACCTCGTCATTTTTAAATGTTGGCGTTGTAGGTCACGCCAAACGGCTCAATATTTTTGAAGGCCACCTTTTTTCTCGATTTTGTGCTCAAGTTATCTTACGATTAAAGTGGAAAGCCAATGGGTATTTACGAGTTTTTAGTAGCTAATGAAATAGACAAAGTTTGTCGACCTCCATATTGGAAACGCCCTAATTCTCAGAATATTCGTAAATAAAATATTTCTAGACTACAATGAAATGAAGCTATATACGAAGTTTAACCTAAAAATATTCGATTTACGAAAATTCTTAGAATTGGGCCGTTTTCAATCTGGAGATCGACAAACTATGTATATTTAATAAGCGATAGCACTGGAAACTGTAGCTTAAAAATACCCGCCTCAGGATTGGCTTCACATTTATACCGACGGATCAGCTGATCAGCCGTCAAAAATGCTGGGGCAGGAGTTTACTCGAGAGAGTTTCAGTTCAGTGCTGCGGTGGGTGAGGATGGTACGAATTTTGACGATGAGATAGCAGCGATCCTCATAGCTCTAAGAACACTATCAGGAATGCAAGTTCAGAACGCTGTTCTCTTTGTCGACTCGTCCATTATTGACGTGAATAAATGTATGTCGAGTGCTATCTTGGAGTGCGAATCCCTTCTCTACGATCTAACACTCCGAGACACCAATGTGGTCCTACAGTGGATCCCGAGCCAATGCGTTATTCCAGGAAATGAGGAAGCGGATAGTCTCGCCAGGAGGGGAGCAGAATTGCGACAAACAGTCCATCCAAAAGAATGGTGAGGATCGTAGTGAAGGAGGAAACAAAAAATATGCACAAAGACAAGGTGGAAGGGAGACGTTATGGATGTTTGATGGAAAACCCGATCCCAGCAGACCTACCAAAAAGAGATGCAGTAGCCTGCTTCCGCCTGGCAACTGGACACGACTATCTACAAAGTCATCTGCACAAGACAGTTGTTGCTGAGGATCCGAGCTGTAAATTATGTGAACAAGCGGAAATGGGTGCAGACCACCTAAATGAATGTCCTGCTTTGACGGATATAAAGAATCAAATATATGTAAATGATTACATACAAAAATCAAACCTATATTGGGCAGCAAGATGTCGGATGGTCGAATGACCAATGACTATGGCATAGGAAAAAAAAATTGAATAAGGTACCGAAAATTCATAAATATCCATTTGTTTTGAAGTCGAATCGTAACATAATATGATCAGAAAGTAGAAAAAAAGTGGCCTACAAATATATTGGTCCGCGTAACTTACACTCCCAAAATGACAAAATAACAGAGTTATATTGGCCAAACGGCCCAATATTTTTGAAGGCCGATTATATGTTTATATTATCTTACGATTCGAGTAAAAAGCAAATGGGTATTCATGAGTTTTTAATACCCTATTTAATAGAAAAGGTTTGTCGATCTTCAGATTAAAAGTGAGCCAATTCGGAGAATTTTGGTAAATAAGATTTTTATAGGATAAGATAATATGCAGTTATTTACGAAGTTTCAGCCGAATGTTAATAATTTTAGAAAAAGGGTTCTGTACCACGGACTATTGAGTATCGGAATTGGAATTTGTAACTTCTACTTGAAACATTCTTTTTTTTTTTTGTCAAAATCCATCGTTTATGAAAGTTCAAAAGGGATCTATACAAACTTTATATAAATATTATATGTTTCGATATTTTCAGGTCAGTTTGTATCATAAATTGTTTCAAGACTGGATATCTTTGAGAAATTTGTCACATATGCAATTACGACCAAGAATATGGCCCATAAAACACTCGGTTGATACAAGCCCCCGCGAAGTTTGTCCTAAGTCAGCGTTGCAGCCGGAGATAAGCTTCGCTGAGGTTGTAAGTCCATACTTGGTCTCTACTTCAAACCTAACTTAGGGCGCTGCTGTAGCGCTAATGTTTGTCGTGTCACGTCTGCACTCTTGTACTAAGCACTAACTTTCTCCGATATTGTATGTTCTTTATAAGTCGTGTATTTCAACAAAGAATATATATATATATATATATATATATATATATATATATATATATATATATATATATATATATATATATATATATATATATAAGAGAAACAATGTGGAATAGCCTTTATTAATTGTATCTAATATTTAATGTTAATTAGTGGTCAGTAAAAACTGAAATTTCTTCTCTCTACCAAAAGTAATTAAAATTGTAGATTGATGGTTTACTGTAGTGAACAATTGAAGTGAGAACCTTCTTCTCTAAAAATGTTGAGATTCACCTAAAATTGTTAAAGAAATTGTTAATTGGTAATTGGTTGACTGTAGTGGATAATGAAGAGAAGAATAGTTGGGGTGCTCAGTCAAAAAGGAAGGCAAAAAATAAATTATAATATTTATTTTTTACATATGCCGACGTTTCGACCTGAAGTTCAGGCCTTCATCACGGCTTTCTCCTTAAGAGTCAAGGGGAGAATAATCAATATCTTTCACTATCAATATCTTTGGAATAATAATTATTCTCCCCTTGACACTTAAGGAGAAAGCCCTGATGATGGCCTGAACTTCAGGTCG